CGAACGCGATGAGCACCCAAAAGCAACAAAATGTTGGCGCTGACTGTGATTTTATTATTTTTGGCAACTGGCCAAAACAATTTATCTGCTTTGAAACAATGCACGCGCAGACACACACACGAGCGTAGAACTACATGGACGCAGAAATAAACCAATAAGCGCACATTTTTTACCACAGAAAGCTTCCAGCGGCGCGCGCGCGGTCGCCGGATAATAGTGCAGAGAAACTGCCAGTTTCCACAGAGTCCGACGTTTGCGCGATAGGCGCGCTTTCTATTGACTTGTCACACGCGACACACTCGCTTGCAAGCATTCACAAAAAGCGCGCCACGAAGCGATTGCACGACACAAATTGAAAATGCATATGTCAGCAGCAGGGTTAACGGTGCGGCAAGCCTAAATCGTAGTAAATCAAGTTAAAAATAGTAGTAGAAAACAAAATTTTGTAGTGGATTTTTTACACATAGCTCCTTTACAAATATTTACATATTTAAATGCATAGGGGTTAATCCGTGTCAAATCCACCAATGGCTGGAGTCGACCATTTTTCATTTCGATGAATTTTGGTCAGAATTTTTCTTTTAACATATAAAGAGTTCTGCAAAAAAATAAAAAATAAAAATTTTTTCAACATTTCGAGATTTCACAATTTTCCTGATTTTACAAGTTTATTTTTATAATATCCCCAAAACTATTACTAGATACTATATGTTGTTACAAAATAGTGATACTGATACTAATAGTGATACTTTTATGTTACACCTATGCCCGATTTCGGCTTAGGTCCTCATCCTGAGGGACTGAAAACATCACTACTGCAACGTTATGTGTGCTTTTGCACAAGCGGCATGAATTTCTCACTCACTTTTTTCGAATCATTAAAAAGTGCATATTTCATACAACGTTTTAGAGAAGATTTTCTGAATATGCGGAGGTTGCGGTTTTACAGGGAGTGTCGGGAAAGGATTTTGGTCCCGTCCCGCCCGCAAAATTTTTACAAACCATGCCGATACCGCCCATAAATTCTATTTTAAATAACCTACAACTGTAATTTTTAAAACGATAGACACCACGACCCTTACACTTTCTGCGAGTTCAGTTAATGCAATAGGATAACTTTTTTTTTTGTAAGAAAATCGAAGTAGGTTGTAGGAAATGCGGAGTAGCGCAATAGAGTTCTAACACCGCGCGGCCATGCGACTCTACATATACAAAATTTGTATGCTGCGTGTATGTGTGCGCGGGCATTTTGGAACGTGCTGCACTGTTATCTCTATTTTGGCGTTGCTATTATTTTTATTTTTACTCTATTTTATTTTTGTTTTTTTTTTTTCCTTTGTTATGCGCTTTCTGATGACTGATTGCGAACTTTTGCCAAAAATCGCTCACAAAAATAAATACTCGTAGTACACGTATGTATGTATGGGAGTACTTACATTTGTATAAACTATGCAGTGAAAACTACTATTAGCGAACTAGGATTCTTCCAATCTGCTTTGCAGTTCAACTAGTCCATTTTTTTCATATTGCACTATTATCTTGAATTCTTAGCCCGGCGATGGCCTTAAAATGTTACGCTTTCTTTGTAACTCCCGGTAGCGTTTACTGAGATGATTCGTTGGTATTTTCAAAGCTCTCGGACATGCCGATGGATCTGCATACTAAAGCTGGACTTAGACGGAGGCTAAAGTCAATCAATTGAATTAATCCTGCTTTATCGCCGACGGTGAGTATTCGAAATGTTGAATGGCTCAAGCGACTAATTAATGTTCAGGGCCGTCGAAGGACAATTTTGATCAAGCATTACGTCAGTCACCACTGGCGGTTATGTTAGGATATGTCAGTGCTCCCTCAAAGCTCCCATTTATGCTTATAGTATTCTGGTTCCTCATCGCGCAGAAAGTTATGTATGTAATTCAATTTTCATGGATATGGCGGTTTATCATTTTATATCACTGCTTGCACCACTAGTTTTTTTCCGTTTGAGGCCCATCCGCATCAGGACATCTTAATCCCTACAGTCAGTTCACGACAGACCTTTCGAGTCGAAAACTTAACTGAGAGTGCGTTTTCATAAGCAGATAGATGGGTTAATTTAAGCGAGCATCACGATTGACTGAACTATTTGATCAAACTGGTCTCAGGTCTAGGCGCGTCTTTATATTTATACGGTTTTGCTTAAAAATGTGCCTAGCGTTTACTTAGGTCATTTACGTGTTTCATTGCTGGGGAGCTACAGTTTCTCGTTATCGTGGGTGTTAACCTACCGACAACTTTTTTTTACCTCCTTACCTCTAAAAATCTCGCTTGATCATGAACGCAATTAAATCGTTGGTCGATATAGCCAAAGAGGCCATAGAAGGCAAGAGAGGGCGCGCAGGGTACCGGGCAATAGGTAATACTGCTAAACACAAAGAACGCATTTAATACTGCGAGCTAGCAGCGCATAATGGAAACTCTCATTGGAGTAGAAGCTCCGAGATATATCATAAAAATAATTAGAAGCTATCTATCCGACCGCAAGATAAACTACGGGAGCGATACGTGAGGCAGTACTGTGCGTCGTTTGGATTTCTCAAATCCAAATTATTCCATCTAATATGCTATTTGAACCATTTTCGACTCCCTTCTCATTTTGCGTTCGCTTATCCCCTTATTGGTGGTTATTGGAAATATGGTCTTAAAATCTTGAAAGTCATGATTTTTCACATGGCCAACTCAATGTGGCCCACAGAAGGCAAAATATCGTAGAGCTTTAAACATTTTGCGTGGAAGTATGCAACGTTTTTTCCTACGTCTTAAATCCGATTTTTAAACCAAATTAAAAGACATCGGATTATTAATCTAAAAATAGGCCTTATATATCTTATTGTAACTATGTATAAGTAAAAAAATCCGAGTTCTACCAATCAATTTACCTTTGGTAGTAGTGGACCTTTTTAGCTTAAAACCAGTTTTTCATAAGTAATCAATCACAACGTAGAAAAAAAAGGATGCATACTTACAGGCAAAATGTTAATAATTCCTAAATTTTTTGCTCTCTGTCGACTCTTATGTTAGGTTAGGTTAAGCGGGCTGACCACAAGAGGTCTCATATAGACGAATATAATGGCCATAGCATTAATCGTATGTTATGTTATTCGTATTAAAAATTTTGTCTGAGAAGACCGCTAGTAAAATCTCACGTTCATTAATTTTCTGGGACAATTTAATCCTCATTCCCGAATAAAGTATTTGGTTAAGCTATCACTTTTAACCCTTTCTTTCACCTTTTCAAAAGCCTTTCAGGAACCAAATAAAACATTTTTTCGTCCTCGAAACGCATTTTTTTTTACTTGAGAATGCAAAATACTTTGGGGTTTTTCTCTATGAATATAAAGCAACCTTCCTTAATTGGAATTATTTCTCGCACAGAAAACGAGACCAAATTTTTTTGCACTTTGAAATTTACCAAATGGTTTTAAATTAAATACATACTTAATATCTTTCCGTGGACACTTTAAAGAACAACTTAAGTCCATAATTCACTCACAAACAAAATGGCATATGTCAGCACAGTTCTTTTTACCTCAGAGTAATAAATTTTACTTCAAAAAAATGCAGTTGTTCAAAACATGAACATCTTGAAAGGTTGTGAATAGCGGTAAATAATGTAATACATCCTTCGAGTAATAAAATTTTTCTCTTTGACGGTAAAATATGTTTTGCAGAAACATGCTGTTTGTTTGTGTTGGAAAGACAGACTTGATTTATTTTTTTAATTTTTTTTTTAATATTTTTTTATAAGACCAAGTTTTAACCAAAACCATTTAAATCTTTCAAACTTTATATAAAATTTAGAAAATCAAATCTCTATCAAAATTTCAAACTTTTTTATCTGAATCTAAAAATCGCGTTGATTTTTCATAATTGAAGACTTTTGCGTTTTGGGCTACAAAATTGCATAAATTCTAAGACTCAAAATAAAAAGATTGAAATAAAAAAAAAAAAAAATTCTTACTAAATTAAGTTAGAACATGAAATTTTACTTAAAAACCATTGTGAATATTTCCAAAAAAATCAACATGTGATTACATATATGTACAATCATTTAATTTTAGAAATCTTCAAAATCTCCAAACGGACTCGAACCTGGGACTTTGGAACCGGGAGTATACTTATTTGGTAGCCTTTATGCGAAGCCAACTCCGACGCTGAAAGTGCTAAAGCATCCCATTCCAATTAATCAACTACATAGTTAGTTGCTACTGACTGATCTAGTAGTTGGGAATATTTACTGCCTGGTTTGGCCTTCCACTGCCGCCTGAGTGCCAGTGCAAGTATTTTTAGCTTACAGGCAGTACAATGAATTTATAAAATCTAGCATGTAGGTTTAAATACCTAGAAATTTTAGCATATTTTTGGGCGCCCACTGCAATTGTTGTGATACAGGTGAAATTGTTTGTGATAAAAGCGCATTGTATGTAGTCAGTGTGCCAGCCCGCGGCGCTGCATAGAAAATGGAAATTATTTTATTGAATGCTATTTGAGTTTCGATGCATATATTAGGTGCTTTATTTTTTTTGCTATGCAGATGGAGGGCATTTGGATGGTGGAATTTTTATTTTCAATTTTTTTTCCATTTCTTTTCGCCGCCTTTTTTGTTACTTTTGCCATTTTTTGCTATTCCATCGCAATTTGATAATCGCCAAGCACATTTTTCAACAGCAATTCAATTTTGTTGTTGCCGCGACGCTTCGCAAGCCTTGCTTATAATGTTGGTGCTATGCACTCAATAAATTTTCATGTCGGAGTCTATTAAAAATTGTTCATTTTTGCCATCCACCACAGTCAGTGTTGGCAAAGGGGGTAAAGAAAAAAAAAATTCCATGAAATAGTATTTTTCCTTTTCAAGTATTTTTCCTTACCATTTATGTAGTAGCTGTCCAGAATTGTTAGTGTACAGCAGGTAAGCGCGCGGTATGCTGGTAGTAGCTATTGAAAACGAGCGCGTCGCCTAAAATTTTGCTATGCTTGTTTTTTTTTATTATTTTATTGTGCAATTCATTCAGCAAACACACACTCACTTTGGTATTTCACACCTTTGCAACATCGTAATTCTATTTAGCATTTTACACTTGCTTACTCGTTTGCCCTTTTTGCTTTTTTCGGAACTTTTTTCTTTTTCGCTAAAACTTTACTGTTGGCCTTTTATTCATTATTTCGCTCCCATACTTTTCCATTTAAATTCCTCACTTTACGTTCACATGCAACCTTTTTTGTTTTATTTTTTTTTTAATGTCGCACCTTTTTATTGTTGTTGCTTGCGCAGTCTTTTAAGCTTATTTGGCGCTTTGGTGGCACACTGAGGCGGAAAATGTTTAGCCTTTTATTCAATTTTGTTCTACGAGTATTCTTTTTATTTTATTTTTCAAATTTTTATTTCTTTTGTTCGGTCAAAGCGACGCACACTTGCGCCTAACCTTGCACTAACTAGCGTCGCTAGCACTTCAATTCGGCTCGCAGCATCCGTTACAATTCAGCTACATACATTTCGCTTTTATTTTTTTTACGTTTTTCTGTTGAATTTTT